GAACCCTCGAAAGCAGGAGAGGATCCTCCATGTCTGACGATCATTATGATTTTGGGGGGGGGGGGGCAAGATTAATGGCGTAACTTTTTCGGTAGCAAAAAAGACGAAGGTATAGGTGACCCCCAATAAGAGACTTCGGGAAGTTGCTAAGTACGACATTACCTTCTCGGAGGATGACACAGATGGACTCCTACTATCACACACGATGCCTTGATAATTTCTCTTAATGGTTTAGATTTTAAAATTAAACGTATTTTGGTGGACCCAGGAAGTTTTGCTAATATTATCCAATGGAGGGTGCTGGAACAAGCCAAGCTGACCTGAAGTATCATTCCAGCTACAAAGATCCTCACCGGGTTCAATTTAGCAAGCGTGACAACCAGAGGGGAGATTCTGCAGCCTACGAATGCCGAAGGGGTAATGAAGACGACCCTTTTTAAAGTAGTAGATGGAGATATGTGCTACAATATTATTCTTGGGAGACCATGGGTGCACGAGATGAAGGTTGTGCCATCAATATACCATCAACTCCTGAAATTTCCAACTCCGTAGGGAATTAAACAAATAAGAGGAGACCAACTGGTGACAATGGAGATGAACACGATCTCAATTTCCAGTAGAAAAGGGAAGGAGCACGCAACATAGCAATTATAGGAACTGACGCCTGCTCCCGAACCAAACAAAGACAACAAGGGGGAGGAGTCGTCGGACTCTTATCAGGTACCAAGATTCTTCCAGGTACAAGAAGAAACGGACGCAAAAAAGTCCACAGCAGAAGAACTCGAGCAAGTCGCATTATTTAGGAAGTTCTTGGAGAGGAAGTTCCACTTGGGGATAGGACTATACCTTGAGGTCAGATAAGGATTTATTCAATTTCTTGAATTTAACGTTAACTGTTTTGCTTGGTCGCATGTGGATATGACATTTATTCCACCAGAAGTGGCCGTGCACAAGTTAAGCTTGGATCCTAACATCCCTCTGGTAAGGCAGAAGAAATCCCCTATTGCCGAGGTCAGAAACAAATTCGTCAAAGAAGAGGTAAGTCAATTGGTTGATATCGGTTCAATTCGGGAGGTAAAGTATCTTGACTGGCTAGCTAACATGGTAGAAGTACCAAAAAAGAATAATAAATTTCGGACCTGAATAATTCGTGCCCAAAAGACTCATTCCCACTGCCGAACATTAGTCAAATGATTGATGCAACGGCCGGGCATGAGTCAATGAGTTTCCTCGATGCTTATTATGGGTAGCAGGAAAAACTTCGTTCATAACGAACTTCGACACATATTTCTATAATGTGATGCCTTTCGGGCTTAAGAATGTCGGAGCCACTTATCAGAGACCTGTAAACAAAATGCTTGAGAAATAAATAGGGAAAACCATGAAAGCGTACATAGATGATATGCTGGTTAAGTCTTTAAATGCATGTGATCATCTTAAACACCTGCAAGAAACCTTTGACATCCTAAGGAAACACAATATGAAGTTTAACCCTAAAACGTGTGCATTCGGAGTCAGCCCTAGTAAATTCTTAGGGTTATTGGTGTCGCAAAGAGGGATTGAAGTCAATCCCGATAAAACTAAAGCTATCGAGGACATCCCTGACCAGCTACCAAACGTGAAGGAGGTTTAAAGGTCAACAAGAGGCCTTTCAAAATTAAGCAGATTCATTTCTGAATCTTTGGAAAAATGTCATCTCTTCTTTTCACTTCTGAAAAGAAGAATAACTTCGAATGAACTCCGGAATGCCAGCAGGCTCTGAAAGATTTGAAAAGGTATTTATTGAGCCTTCTATTATTATCTAAATCGGAGGAAGGAGAGCAGTTGCTGATTTACTTAGCGGTTTCAGAAGTAGAGGTAAGCGTCCTTTTAGTCTGCGAAGACGAAGGTACGAAATCTCCTATCTATTACGTGAGTAAATTTTTAACAGTAAAGGAAACTCACTACCCACATCTTGAGAAATTGGCCTTAGCTCTCGTAGTCGCCACTCGGAAGCTCAGGCCTTATTTTCAATGTAATCTGATAGCCGTGGTGACAACCTTTCCCCTGTGAAATATCATTCACAAACCTGAACTTTCATGTTGACTGGCAAAATAGGCTGTTGAAATGAGTGAATTTGACATATAGTATAAACCCAAGACTGCGATCAAGTCACAAGATTTGGCTGACTTTGTGGCCGATTTTAGTCCTAAACTATCGCCTTTGTCCACATAAGAAGCGATGATTGTGTCGGAATCGACATTGGGAGTCTGGACCTTGTTCACAAATGGAGCTTCCAACCTGTAAGGGTCCGGGCTCGGTGTAGTATTAGTCACGCCTTCGGGAGAAACTCTGAGGCAGGCCATAAGAACTATTTGATTGGCTAACAATGAGGCAGAGTATGAGGCCTTGATTGCAGGACTCAAGTTGGCCTGGCGACTAGACTCTGAGGTCATAGAAATCAAATGTGATTCCCAACTCGTAGTCATTCAAGTCTACTGAATCTTCGAAGCCAAAGAGGAACGCATGCAACAGTATGTACTAAAAGTCCAGGCTCTACTCAGAGAGTTCAGGAATGTTCAATTACCCATATCCCGAGGGAAGAAAATGCAGAAGCAAATATAGAAGACAATTTGGGCTCGTCCACGAAAATGAAGGGATCAGACTCCGGTGCAGTCGTGTAGCTTATGCATTCAGTATTGAATGTGGATGGCTATTATGAAGTAAACGCGACCAATTTGGTCTGGGACGGGAAGAATGAGATCATTGACTATCTCAAACAGGGAAAACTACCCGAAGATCCCAAGGCATCCCGGGCGCTGTACACTAAGCAGCCCTGATACTGTTGCAAGGGAGGTCAATTGCATAGAAAATCTTTTCAAGGCCCGTTGGCCCAATGTTTAGGAGCCTCTGAAGCTAATTACGTCATGAGAGAAGTTCACGAAGGGATCTGCAGAAATTACTGGGGTGCGGACACTTTGGTATTAAAGCTAATTAGGGCAGGATACTACTGGCCCCGGATGGAGCAAGATGCTAAGGCTTATGTTCAAAAATGCGATAAGTGTCAACTCCACGCACCATTAGTGCATCAGCTGGCAGAGTTATTGCACTCAGTTTTGTCACCCTGGTCATTCATGAAATGGGGGATGGACATAGTCAGTCTACTGCTGCCGGCTCTAGGTAAGGTAAGATTTCTTTTGATTTTCACTACTTTTTTAAGTGGGTTAAAGAAGGTCCTTACCAGAAAATTGGTGAGCACGAAGTGGTAGATTTCCTGTGGGAGAATATTATTTGTAGGTTTGGGATAAAAAAGATAACATGCGATAACGGGCCACAATTTATAGGTGCAAAAGTCACAATATTCCTCGAAGAATTTAAGTTCACATATGGGCATAGCTGCCGAAGGCAGGCTACCGTCCGCCGCACATAAGGGTTCACATATGCCAAGCAGACCTGATAATGGAAGCAAAATTTCAAGATTACGGAGTCAAGTCCCCCGCTCAATTAGAACTGGACCAAAGTGAAGGGATACGTGTAAGCGTACGTAAAATCCTTCTTGGGGAAGATTACTCGCTCTTCTTGATTGGAAGCGATGATGTTCAAATTATGGCAACCGCAGTCTTCCTTCACAACAGGGATGCTAGAATGATGGATGGAAGAAGGGTATATACCAATGACCCATGTGCGGAAGTTAGTAGAAGAGAACTTCTCTTCGAAGTCGTTAGCCGTAGTAAGCTTTCTGGGGATAATGGTGCTCACCGTAGGAGGATGAGCATCATCAGTGCTTTCCTTGTTTTTGAAGAACTGGAGTTTTTGGAAGAGGAGGCCATAGTTAGTAGAATGAAGTAAGGGTTTCTTTGAAGAAGGAGGCTAAAGAAAGTTGAAAGCAAGAGTGAGTTGAGTAAACCAAGTTTGAGAGAGTTCGAGAAATAGTGAAGTGTAAAAGAAAATGATTGAAGCATATAAGTAAAGGAATTTGTGGCTAAAATCGTGGCCATGATTACCTCGAGAACCGACAAAAGTATTGTTGAATCGTGGGATGACGCATGTTTGGGACATTAAAGGCGGAGAGACGTGTGTTTAATCAAGAGTCAGAAACTTTTCAAAGGGGGTCAGAGAATTCTCCGCCAAGAAAGGTATCTGCACAACCTTCTCGGTGACACAAGGATGTGACACCGGAAAGCAGGGGGACTATCTGTATAGGGCAAAATATGTTCATATTTTATACTCGCATAATAAAGCGACACGTGAAACCAGAGAAAGATAGAAAGCGAGACAGGTGTAAATCAAGTACGGGGACAGCAATCTCGGTAACCTGCAAAGGGAATGTTGCTCATAAATGTCTGCCACCCGATAGCATTAAATGAAGAATATTCTGCAGTATTAAATACATAGTCCGTTATAGAGAATATGACATTCATAATCTGCCGTTATACATTCTTCAATAGCCCTCATAATTGTTATTTAAGAGGGGCTTGATCCTAGGACCTTGTTCCCTAGGTGCAATTATAAGTAGTGAGTTCAACAACCATGGTAGGGGACACGAATTTTCTGACAAACTTATACTATATATTATTCAAAAGCTCAATAACATTTTATCTCGTGCTTATTAGTATTGCTATTTCTGCCTTCAGAATCTCTGCTCCTGGAACCAAGCTATAACTGTCTTATCTCGATTTCGACTCTAAGTCTTTTTATATTGAATTCTTTTATGATTTTGGCACCAAATCGATTCGCTTGTCTATAAATCACGTATTAGTTCAACTATATCATTTTACGAGTAATCAGTTCTCGGTGGTACTAGAAGGCTAGGTACGCCCACGTAACAATACACGTTGAATTGTGATTGTTTGGCCGTCGGAGAAACATATAGTAAGAGTTAGAAATTGAAATTGGTGTTTTATGGAGTATTAAAATTTAACATAATAACATCTTGCATTTTCAGTGAACACATTGAGTGGTCCCAGTGATGAAGTGAAAAGAGCCAAACTTCACGGCCCTCAGTCTTTAAATATTGCAACAAGAAACAGATAAAAAGGGCCATCCACTCCAAAGAGACAACCTCTCTAGGGAGAAACCCAGCAGGGATGTGGGGTGCTTGTTCTGAGAATATATCGACTCTACTCAATTCAATAATAAACACGTACTGCATTTTTATAGTCTTGTCCTCTTCTATGGTTCAAGTATCTCTCATCTGTACTTGTCTCCCTTAATTCTCTGAAATATATCAGACACACATATTTCTAAATTTTTCTAAAACAGAGGAGATGAGATATGTTCGTACAAGTAGCCTAAAGAGGCTGTTTTCTTTCGGAAGACACAGTTTTGATGGAGATTTTCCAAAAGGTTGTGAAGAAAATAATACTACAAGTACCGCTACTGATGCTGCTTCCCCCACAACTCAGCCACCTCATAGGCCCACATGGAAATGTTTCTCTTTTCAAGAAATTTTTCGTGCCACCAACGGTTTCAATTCAGGTTAGAGACCAATTAAGAATCTTGAGTCAGTATACATTTTACATTTTCTTTTTGTTTCTAATTAATGATTGAATGTTCAGAAAATATTGTTGGGAGAGGAGGATATGCAGAAGTGTACAAAGGAGTATTAGATGATGGACAGGCAATAGCTGTAAAAATGCTGACAAAAGCCACCGATGATGAGAGAAAAGAGAAGGAATTTTTGACAGAAATTGGGACACTTGGTCACGTTTGCCATCCCAATGTGACATCATTGTTGGGTTGCTGTATTGAGAATGGGCTTTATCTCATTTTTCAGTTCTCTTCTAAAGGCTCTGTTGCTTCAATTCTCCATGGTAATGTTCTTTCTTGGTAATTTCAAAGATGTAGAGTTTTAATTTGTAATAACTCTTTTATTCTTCTTTTTTCCCAGATGAGAAATCAGCCACTATGGACTGGGAAACAAGGTACAAAATTGCTCTTGGAACTGCAAAGGGTTTATATTACTTGCATAAATCTTGTCCTAGAAGAATAATTCACAGGGACATCAAGGCTTCAAATGTTTTGTTGAGTGAGGAATATGAGCCACAGGTATATATCTTTGAGATATTGTTTCAAACTTCTCTTCAAATTTCAATACTGAAATTAGGCCACTTAGTGCTGTGTTGCACTGTATGCCTAAATGGTTGTACCATAGTAGTAGTACCCGTTGGTTCATTAATTAATTTACTGTTGGTTGAATGACAGATATCAGATTTTGGGCTAGCAAAATGGCTTCCATCACAATGGACCCATCATTCCATTGTTCCAATTGAAGGGACTTTTGGGTACTTTCTTATGCTTAAATTCGGCAAAAACATAACAAATGGCTCCATTTTAAATGTCTAAATAAACTTTAATGTTATATCTCCAGGCACTTAGCACCAGAATATTTCATGCATGGAGTAGTTGATGAAAAGACAGATGTTTTTGCATTTGGGGTGTTCTGCTTGGAGCTCATTTCTGGGAAAAAACCAGTTGACAATTCCCATCAAAGCTTACACAGCTGGGTAAATCAGTAGCGCAATTTCTTGAAATTTTTGCATTAGTCTTGAATAAAGCAACAATATGTACTCACTTATTCAGTCTATATTATCAGTCTTTTAAGATTTTTGCACAATAACTTAAGAAAAATATTTAATATTAGTACTTACTTTAGCTTTGATTTGTATTTAATTTTTACAGGCAAAACCTCTTTTGAGCAGAGGAGTTATAGAAGAAGTAGTAGATCCAAGGCTAGAAGGGAGATTTGATTCTACACAACTTCATAAACTTGCTTTTGCTGCTTCACTTTGCATTCGTGCTTCTTCTATATGGCGCCCTACAATGAATGAGGTAAATTATACTTCTTTCTCTTTATTTATTTATTTTTCCTTAAAGATAAGGTATTATTATTATGCAGGAATTAAAGCGAGTTATTACGGTCCGGGACTGATCTTATAAGCAGTCCCTAATACTTCTTTCTCTTTTATCTTTATGCAGTTAAGAGAAAAAATTTAGTAGGATAACTCATACGTAATCCGTCAGAAGATTATATTAATAAAAATAAAAGTAAATTTTTTTTTTTAAGAAGATTATTCACCAAAAAAGTGTTGAAATGCATTTGAAGATACAACTTACAAGGTCCAAATACAAAATGAAATAATTAGAGCATTGTCAATCATTGTTATTATTTGCTCAAACTTGTGGAAGTGGTAACGAATAGGTGACAATTTGGGAGTTTTAATTTAAATAAATATGAGTAATTAAAAAAAAAAAAAAGCAAAACCCAAATACTTGCTATATATTTTATGTTGGAGCACGATACCAAGTTATTATTAATCCTTTTAAGTAGTATAATTTATTATTAAAATGAGTAACTCCAATTATTATTACTCCATAGGATTCTCTTAATAATGTTGGAATATCATTCCAACTTGCATAAAGGTAAATATTTGGTAGTATTATTTTCTATTTTCTATTTGTCGTGTTCTCCTAGATTGGCCAACTGAATCAATTCCGAGTTGTCTCAATCTTCCCATAGCATATACTACAATAATTCTTTCAACAATGCATTATCCCCCTGTCTATATATATCTACCCACTTTTTAAAAATGTTTGCCACATAAAGGAATTTTTGTGACAGATGGATTTGAATTTTTCAGCTGCTTATCATTTTATTCTATGAGTGTAACCTAAGCATTCTTGTCATCTTTTTAGGCAATTCACCTAAACACTGCAAACTTTGCTCACCTGCTTTATACCTTAATACTTCCTCTATCTTAAACTTAGTTTTAATAAATGTTCTTTGTAGTGAACAATATTTAAATTATTTTCGGTAATCTAAAAAAGCGAAATCTTAGAACATGCATTTTTTGAAATAATCTGAAGATTTTAGTGGGCGTCTGGACATAAGAATTGTAAAATTCCGGAAAAAGTAAAAATAAATTCAAGTAAGAATGAATATTTGAAAATTAGAGTTTTATTCGTACATAAATCAATTTAGAACTATTTTTGAATTTTTTTGAGTGATTTGAAGTCATAATTTTGAAAAATATTTTTTTGGAGTTTTTCAAATTCCAAAAAAAATTTAAAATTCAACTTCAAGTGAAATTTAAAATTTTCATGGCCAAACACTAATTCTGAAAAAAGTGATAATTTCCCAAAATGAATTTTCTTTTATGGTCAAACAGACCATTAGTGGGCATTTGGACATATGAATTGTGAAATCCCCGATAAAATAATTTTTTTTCAATTGAAAATACTATTTAAAAATTAGAGTTGAGTTTGGACTTGCATACAATTTGGAGTTGTTTTTAAATTTTTGTGAGTGATTTGAAGTGAAAATTTTGAAAAACAATTTTTGTGAGTTTTTAAAATTTTCGAAAAATTCTGAAATTTAACTCAAGTGAAATTTAAAATTTTCATGGCCAATTACTAATTCCGAGAAAATGTGAAACTTTTCCGAAAAAAAGTAAAAAAAATGTAAACGGAAAACATGCATATCTGAGATCAATTCATGCACGCAACAGAAACTCTCAAAGTTGACCCCGCCGAATGCATATTAAAGTAATATTCTAAGGGCATGATGACATCTTTGCAGTTAAATACAGAAACCACCAAAATTTTCTAGTAATATATTTTCAGTAATCACTTTCCAGAGGCGTGCTGCAATTAATCTATGATATCTAGTCATTTTTGTCGTGTTGATGTGAAGCATTAATTTGTATTTCTTCAAAAACAATCAATTGATTGATTTGTCTTACCAAACTATAGTCGTTTATAGTTTTATTAAAAATTAACCTATGGATTTTGACAATTGATTAGAAAGAGCATCCAGAGGTATGACAAATAACGGGCCAAAATCATATTTAATGTGGGTCCTTAAAAAGTTTCACTAAATCAGTAGCTCTCTTTATCATAAAGATTAAACATCATTATATCAATTATTTGTCTGTTTTCGGCCTTCGCATCTTCTTTGGTTAAATCAATTTTATTGTTTATTTTTCCTTTCTTTCGTAGATCAGCACTTCGCGAGAAAGACTTTGCTACATTATTGTTGCTTATCTCTCAGCTTCATCTGACATATTTCTACTTATTTTTTGGCTTAAAATTATGAATCATTCAGTTAAATTAATCATCAATTTAATAATCTAATAATGGAGCTGCTACAAGTACAAATAATAAGAACTTGACTTACAATAATGATTGAATTTTTTGGAAGATTTACTAAAACATCTTGAATAAACACTGTATGGATATTATATATAAAATTCGTGACACAATAAAAGTAAAATTTACGTTTCTGTTAGATATATAAAGTTAATCTCTTTACCTTTGATCTAGAATATGCTTTTATGTGGGCCATGGTAGTATAATTCCGTGGAACTTGTTCATAATTTCAGGAAGGAATTCGTCTTCAAAGTCTTGAAATGTTCATAAATAGTGAAGTTTGTATAACTATTATTATTAATTAACTCTAGTAAGAATACTAATTCACATATAATGGAAAACGGCTAAACTCAAAAAAAAATTATGTTTTCACAATTATGTGGTTTACTAGTTTGAGTACAGAGCCTTTTATTTATTTATTTATTTATTTATTTATTAATTAATGTTTATGGGTTATAACCCAAAACGCATTGAGATTTTAGATTTATTATCTTATACGCTAAGTTATAGTATATGTGTTAAGCTATTACTTTGGGTAATAATTTTATTTCCTCCTAAACGATTTAAAAAAAAAAAAAAAACCTGAACCGAAGTCTGTTATAAGTATAAAACAATAAGAAGAACATGACTTTCAATAATGATTGAACTTTTTGGAAGATTTTCTAAAACATCTTGAATAAACACTGTATGGATATTCTATATAAAATTCGTGACATAATAAAAGTAAAATTTACGTTACAGTTAGATATATAAAGTTAATCTCTTTACCTTCGATCTAGAATATGCTTTTATGTGGGCCATGGTACCAGGGGCGTACGCAGAATATTTTGTAAGCGGTGTCGATATTTAAAGAAGTGAATAAATGAATGATCATTATATTATTATATTAAAAAATATAGCAGAGGGGGATAAATAGTTTTTAAAAATTAGGATTTCAAGTATGCTGAAATAACTTTACTGCCTAACATCAAATTTTTCACAAAAAAGAGTTTTAAAAATTTAAAAGCATGCACATTCTATATAGAATTGAGTATCGATGCCGTAACCTCTCCTAAAGGAAAGAAGCGCTTAACCAGTGAACTAAGCATGGATGTCTGTTCAGCAACGTCATTTTAATATATATATTCGAATAAGATATTCTTACATGTAATTTATATGTATATTTAATAAAATTTTCTGGCGAAGCGGTGTCGGATGACACCGCTTCACACTAGGTAGATCCGCCCCTGCATGGTAGTATAATTCCGTGGAACTTGTACATAATTTCAGGAAGGAATTCGTCTTCAAAGTCTTGAAATGTTCATAAATAGTGAAGTTTGTACAACTATTATTATTAATTAACTCTAGTAAGAATACTAATTAACATATAATGGAAAACGGCTAAACTCAAAAAAAAAAAAAAAAAATTATGTTTCCACAATTATGTGGTTTACTAGTTTGAGTACAGAGGCTTTTATTTATTTATTTATTAATGTTTATGGGTTATAACCCAAAACGCATTGAATTTCAGATTTATTATCTTATACGCTAAGTTATAGTATCTGTGTTAAGCTATTACTTTGGGTAATGATTTTATTTCCTCCTAAATGATTCACACACACAAAAAAAAAAAGAATTTGAAAATTTCGATACTATTTCCGATATTTCTGAGATATAAAATCTACAGTCAAATTTTTCTATAATAACTTCGTTTGTTCCAAATATTTTTGAATGTTATAGCGAATTGCTGTTATAGAAAACATATATTATAATAGAACATAAAATTTGGTTCCGAAAAAACTTGACAAATATAGTGAAGTGCTGTTATATAAGAATGCTGTTATAAAGGGTTTGACGGTATTTGATTTCCTTTTCAAGGAAGAAACAAAATGTAAAGCAAATATCATCAAGTGCAATTTGTGTTTCATAGGTATTGTGCACGATGTAGACCACTCTATGTGCTTGTACGGTATCAATTTTGTTATATAGTAATGCTTGTTTGATACTCATTCTTTGTGTCATCAATTCATTTTGTTGGTTAATTCTGATGACAGATTTTGGAGATAATATTGGGAGGCGAAGTTGATAAAGACAAATGGAAAATGCCAGATGAAGAAGAGGAAGAGCAAGAAGAGTTTTGGGGGTTTGAGGATCTTGAATGTGAATGTGAATGTGATAGTTCCTTCTCAACTTCCCCACATGACACCTTCTAATTAAACGTGAAGCTCATAAATCCAAATTCACATATTGAATACTATCATTTACTAAGTATATATAGTGAGTACTACAGGACTAAATATGTTAGCGTTAGACATTTATAGATAAAAACTTAGGGGGGTAGTTTATTATTACTCTCTAAATCTTAATTTTTTGAGGTTGAACTTCCATGTTTTAAAATTTCGGATATATGCTTGTTCTTTTAGAAAAAATCTGCATCAGTATCATCCACATGTAAATAAGACGTTTTGGAATAATTAATTTCATGGATACTGATGTATATCCATCTCAATTCTCAAGTATCCATGTAATTTAACCAAGCTCATTTGTCTTGGAAATGATTAATTACAATAAAAAGTTAAAATTGTTTTGGTGTTTGATGGAAGTTCAGTCTGGTTTATTAATATTTCCAATTAACAAACACACAAAGTCGACTTCCTAATCCGATGAGATATAGATTACAACAATGACCAATAATTTTACTGATGAGCAATCAACCTTTATTTTATCGTTTTAAAGTCACTAAATATTTTTGTAATGAAAAAAGTATTCAATTTTGTAGGGTAAAATCAGTTCATATTAAATGCTCGTATAATAGAGCGACACGTGGAACCAGAGATAGACGGAAAGTGAGACAGGCGGAAACCAAGACCGAGGGCAGCAGCTTCGGTTGGCACCGGGAAGCCCCAATAGGGAATATTGCAATGGAGACAAACGAATGCCTGGCACCCTATAACATTCAATGGAAAATATTCTACAATATTAAATACACAGTCCGTTATCGAGAACTTTGGCATTCATAGCCTGCCGTTACACATTCTTAAATGGCTCCCATAATTGTCATTTAAGAGGGGCTTGATCCTAAGACCTTGTTCCCTAGGTACAACTATAAATAATGACTTCACCAGCCATTGTAACGGACACGAATTTTCTGACAAATTTATGCTACATACTATTCGAAAAGCTCAATAATACTTTATTTCTTGTCTATTGATATTCACATTATTGCCTTCAGAAGCTTTGCTCCCGGAACCAAGCTATTTGCTGTTTTATCTCGATTTCAACGCTAAGTCTTGCATTTTATTTAATTTATTTATCATTTTTGGATCAAATCGATTCGCTTGTCTATAAACCACGTTACAAATTCAACTGTACCGTTTTACGGGTAAACATCAACTTTGTGTAAGTATCATTGGAAGTCACTAAACAATATTATTTTACAACCATATGATTACTTAACTTTGTGTAAGTGTCATAAAAAATATTTTTTTCCTAATAACTTTTCATGATACTTAGATAAATATGAGTTAGTTACAAAATAATTAGCGATTTCAATACAACAAAGTGAAAGAAGTGATTATCCATAAAATTTTAACCCCAACAAGATACTTCTCATGATCTCTGCTGGTTTTTTCATGTCCATATGATATATCTATACATTGGGATTCATCGACAAATATACTCATAAAATAGATTAAAGCCGCGCCATTGTCACAACCCAAATCTGTGGCTATAACATGATATCCAATGAGCGATTAACCGCCAAGTAAACCATTAACTGTAAATCAATCAAAACACAACATTAGTCTCAAAATGATTCATAGCATAAAATATAACTGTATATCGCTGAAACCGGGCCTATCTGATTTTACTATTGATCGAGACTAGGGAGTTGTATCGAGGGTTAGCCTCGCAGTGGAACATATCAAAGTGACGAAGATAAGGTATCGAGTTCGAGAATCGAAGTGCCTACCGAGATCGAGGCCGACAGCGATCGAGACCAAATAGGGCAGGCTACGAGCAAAGAAAAATAACAGGAAAGCGAGATATCCATGCCTGATCGAAGATCATGGCGGGAATCTCGGAATGGATCAAATCAAAGGCAGTTGTTTAGGCTAATCATAGGATTACTTCTGTAATTAGAATTGTACCATAGATAGGATTCCTCTACTATATAAAGAGAGTCCTAATCAGTTTGTAAGCACCTTACACTCTGAGATATCAAAGCAATACAACGCAGTTTCTATAGTTCATATCCTTGTTCATCAGCTTGTTATATTTTAACTGTTCTTGCAGAAATTAGTTCGAGGGTATTCAAGCTCGAGGGCAGAATTCTGTTTAAACGCTGGTTTGCTTTATAATATTGTTAATTTCTATTATTACTTTTTGCATTTATCAATTGATATTAGGTGAAGTCACATATCCTTAAAACCACATTATAAGTTTTATTGTTATCCAATTTTAAGGGTATACAGTTTGGCGCCCACCGTGGGGCTAAGAATAATAGTGATTACCTGGTATTAATTCCTATAATACATACTACTTTACGCTTGTTCTCGTAAGTGTCTATGATTACAAGAATCAACATGTCAAACTCTCAAGTAGCACCCACTCACACAGACAACGGACTTGGTCTTCATGGCGAAAACGAAAACATAATCGCTCCAGGAAACGGAGTACCTCCAGTCAACCCCGATGGACCACCGACCATAGACCCAGTCAATGTCAGCTCTCATATTTCCATTAATGGGAATTTAGGCGTCAATCATGAAAACAGCGTCCGCAGAGATGCCCGAGCAGCCGATCAGAACGCACAGAGCGGAGAAGAAGGCGAAATTAGCGTTCGAATGATATTCGAAATGTTGCAAACTCAACAAGCTGCGATAGCGCAACTCCAAAATTAGAATCGAGCACCAAGCAGAATAGAGCTCGAAACATCACAAGAAGTTGTTCATAGAATCAAACCTATACCGAAGAAATCAAATGCCAATGAATCAGGGAAACCCCGCCATTATGAAGATGCTCGAGGAGCTCACTAAGTGGATCGAATCATGTGGGAAAAAATATCGAGGCTAATGACAAAAAGGTAGAGACGTACAACTCACGGGTTGACCAAATACCGGGGGCACCCCCGATTCTAAAGGGTTTTGATCCGAAGAAGTTCGTGCAGAAGCCTTTCCCTCCAAGTGCGGCCCCGAAGCCCATTCCTAAGAAATTCCGTATGCCAGAAATCCCCAAATACAATGGGACCACCGATCCTAATGAGCACGTTACTTATTACACATGCGCAATAAAGGGGAATGACTTAGAAGATGATGAGATTTAATTCGGTGTATTGAAGAAATTTGGAGAGACATTATCGAAGGGTGCCATGATATGGTATCATAACTTACCACCCAACTTTAATGACTCATTTTCTATGCTCACAGATTCTTTTGTGAAAGCCCACGTCGGAGCCATTAAAGTTTCAACAAGGAAATCGGACCTCTTTAAGGTAAGACAGAAGGATAGCGAGATGCTTAGGGAATTTGTATCTCGGTTCCAAACGGAGAGAATGGATTCACCTCCAATCACCGACGACCGGGCTGTTCAATCCTTTACACAAGGTCTCAACACTCGAAGCTCCATAGCTTCACAACAGTTAAAGCAAAATTTGATTGAATATCCAGTTGTCACTTGGGCCGATGTACACAATCGGTATCAGTCGAAGATTAGGGTCGAAGATGATCAACTGGGAACTCTAATTGGTTTGATTTATCCTAACAGGCCCGTGGACAGAGTTAAAAGGGACGTCGATCGGGAACCACACTCGAATAGAGATAGATACCAGCCATACAGAGGAGATCGGGGAAATAACGGGCCCGGACGCTGTTAGCCCCAAGGTTCCATAGACTAATTTTGATGATACCAAACCAACATAATGTTTAATCAAAGAATATTTACTTGTGGTACTTATTTTATTGGTACAGATCTATTATGGAAAGCAGATGAAAGAGTGATGGTTGATTTACTACAAAGTTGAGGAAAGAAATATCTACAATGCTTACTACTTTTATGAGAAATATTATTGAGATTTATTGGGATGATTTACCTTGCTGAAGGAAAGCTTCAAAATGTATCAAAGAAGATATGGAAAAGAACGAAAATCCAGCAGCAAATCTAGCAAGAATAAATGAAAGCATCAGTAAAAGAAATTAAGGAGTATCAGCCAAGATGGAATCAGAAAAGCAAGAAAGAAAGTGAATTGTGAAAATATTCTCAAAATGGATAGAAGTATCTGGCGTAGAATACTAATACTACTTTCGTATCATAGAGCACTAAAGTTTTGTGATACCATGGAAGGAAAAGTATTTCACAATACAAGGAATTTTTTTGAATAACTTTCCAGTAAGGAAACGTGGTTGTGTATTGGAAATTTGGAAGGTATCATTGGAAGGATGTATTGAGTTATAAAAGGACAAGGATCAAGGAAGATATATATTATTGCCAACACTTAGAAGGAAAGAATATTTTGTGGCATGTGTAAAAACTCCATAAATATGTAAAGTTTGAATCTTATGGAAAGAGATAATATTTCCATAACTTATGGAAGATCTAAATTCCTCCAGGTGACACAAAGGCGTCCACATTCAAAAGCTTTATATTAAGAGTTCCAGGGAATCAATAATGCCGATTCATGAAGATTTCAAATCTAGTTTGAAAATATGCAGCTATTAAGGAAGATGATTTCAAAAGATTGAGACATTAATTGAAGAACAGTATCATGAATCAAGAGGAAGGAAGTGTCTAAGTTCGAAGACAACCAGATTCAAGGTTCTACTTCAAGGATCAAGAATTCAAGGAAGAGATTGTCCAGATTTCAAGGAGACGTATATCTCAGAGAAGTACCATACGAAGCAACAGTCATAAATTCAAGCACTCTATAAAAAGAGGTTTTCGACAATGAAGAAAGTACCAGCTTCGCAGACAACTTTCCTACTCTTTCTACACCTTAGTCAAGCACTGTATTCTTAAGTTTACTAGTGTCATAAAAGATAGAGTGAAAGGGAAAAATACAGAGAGGTTGTGTCATTGTTCGTTTCTTTGGTGAGCGAGTGAAAACGAAAGTGTCGTTGTTGGTGAGGGACTGAAAACCAACCCTTTGTTCGTTGTTGGTGAGCGAGTGAAAACCAACCTTGTCAACGTTGGTGGTGAATGCTAAAAACCACAAAGGCTGTACTCAATTCAATGTACAAAGAGATCTAAGACAACACTCTTGGAACCCAAGAGGACTGGATTAGGATACCACATTGGTTCCGAACCAGTATAAAAATTTCTGGTGTCATTTACTTTATTGCTCTCATATTATATTCTGTTCCTTTACTGTTTGTTGTGATTTACACTTGTTTAAATCAGAAGCACTAACAGTTCTGTGCAGGTTGTTCTGTATCAGTCGACTAAGTCTAAATATAGTCGACCAATTTTTAATAGGCGTACAATTCACCCCTCCC